CCCTCCCATAGCTCTCCCTCAGTTCCAACCCCCTCCCATAGCTCTCCCTCAGTTCAGTCCCCCCATCTCTCTCCCACTCAGGTCCCCCCTCCTTCCTCCTTGAGCTCCTACCTTGTAGCGTGGCCGAGCGCACCGCGGTACAGGAACTTATGTTTCCTGTACCCGGCGGACAGGAAGTGCTCTCTCTGTGAGCACTTCATTTCCGGCCGCCCGGGTACAGGAAACATAAGTTCCTGTACCGTGGTGCGCTCGGCCACGCTACACAGAGTGCCTGGCAGGAGGGAGTGCTCTGCGCTCACCTCCTGCCGGTCACTCCGGCTTTGCGCCCGCCGGGCCGGTGCACCCTAAGGCGGCCACTTGTGCCGCCTTATGGATGCGCCGGCGGAGCGCACCCTCCCTCCGGCGACCTATGGCCGCGTGCCCACAGAGTGGGCTCGGCGTGCCACCTGTGGCACGCGTGCCATAGGTTCGCCATCACTGCCCTAAAGGATATTTATGTTTGCAGTATCTCCCCTTGTTCTTTGTCCAATCTATTATTGGCTTTATCACGCTTTCCACTTCATTGTGATGGTTTTGTGATAGTGGTTACTCTGATCACATTTTGGATAAGGCTTTTCAAGGTGCCTTAAATACCGATAGATCAACTCTTTTGAGGGATAATCTATCAATCAAGGAAGATACTAAAAAAAGTCCAATGTTTATCACTGACGTTAGTTTACAATTCAATAACATTTTTGGCATGGTCAGGAAATATTTGTCTGTTTTGTTCAATGACAACAGAATTGAGCATATTACATACTCTGGTATTAATGTAAGCTCGTTTGAGCAGGGCCCTCTTCAATCTATCGTTCCTGTAAGTTTTCTTGTAATTGTCCTATTTATAGTTAAATCTCCCCTCTCATAATATTGTAAAGCGCTACAGAATCTGTTGGCGCTATATAAATGGCGATAATAATAATAATAATTACTACTGCTGCATAGAGAGCCCCTAGTTTGTCACAACAACCGACCCCCAGTTGGGTTACATCTAAGATGGCAGAGAAACCAACGTGGCTTCGCTATGCATTCATGTTTAAGTGTAGGGCGATCCGATGCAAAGTCTGTTCTTTACTGAAGGTTGGTAATGTCCAGTAGGAATTATCACATCACACAGTACACTAATTGTAATGCTTAGCTCATTTATGTATTAATTAACATGTCAAACATGCCCAATTCATAAAATGTGACGGCAGATAAGAAAGAACCATTCGACCCATCTAGTCTTCCCAATTTTATAAATACTTTCATTAGTCCCCGGCCTTATCTTAAGTCTAGGAGAGTCTTATGCCTATCCCACACATGCTTAAACTCCATAACTGTGTTAACCTTTACCACTACCCTCTCAGTAAAGTAATACTTCCTGATATTATTTTTAAACCTTTGCCCCTTCAATTTAAGACTGTCCTCTTGTTTTTGTAGTTTTTCTTCTTTTAAATATAGTCTCCTCCTTTATTGTGTTGATTCCCTTTATGTATTTAAATGTTTCTATCAAATCCGCCCTGTCTCGTCTTTCCTCCAAGCTATACATGTTAAGATCCTTTAACCTTTCCTGGTAAGTTTTACCCCGCAATCCATGAACCAGTTTAGTAGCCCTTCTCTGAACTCTCTCTAAAGTATCAATATCCTTCTGAAGATACGGTCTCCAGTACTGCGTACAATACTCCAAGTGAGGTCTCACAAGTGTTCTGTACAATGGCATGAGCACTTCCCTCTTTCTACTGCTAATACCTCTCCCTATACAACCAAGCGTTCTGCTAGCATTTCCTGCTGCTCTATTACATTGTCTGCCTACCTTTAAGTCATCTTAAAAATACCCCTAAATCCCTTTCCTCAGATGTTGAGGTTAGGACTCTATCAAATATTCTGTACTCTGCCCTTGGGTTTTTACATCCAAGATGCATTATCTTGCACTTATCCACATTAAATATCAGTTGCCACAATTCTGACCATTTTTCTAGTTTACCTAAATCATTTGCCATTTGGCTTATCCCTCCTGGAACATCAACCCTGTTACATATCTTAGTATCATCTGCAAAAAGACATTGCAGAAAGTCTTGATGGTAAGGTATATCACTAATAAAAATATTAAAGAGAATGGGTCCAAGTACAGATCCCTGAGGTACCCCACTGGTGACAAGACCATGCTTCGAATATATTCCATTGACTACAACCATCTGTTTCCTGTCACTCAGCCACTGCCTTACCCATTCAATATGTTGGTCGAATTTGTGAGAATATTATTGCCTTTGAGGAATTGCTCCTGATTCCTCCATAGCATGCCATTTTCATACTTGTAATAGCTGTAATACTTTCTAGTTTATAGTTCAAGGTACGGCAGGTTTACAAGATAATGTAGAGAGGATGATTGTAGATCTAAGTTACATTATTGTGAGGTCAATGAGTTTTTAAACTATTGAGTTAAACAATATGTTTGATTTACCCAATTATTTTTTATGCTTATAGAAACATTAAAGAGTTATGTATTTGTCATGCTAAAGTGCTCTAGGCCAGCACTGCTAGGATTAAAAAAGATATTTTACTTTTTCTCACTCGACACACCAGTCTTCTTGGTGAAGCTCCGCCTCATTGGTCAGGATCAATGATCTCAGCGAATCCACTGCTTTACTATAGGAAAGCATTGGTAGGCTAGTGCACTTGCACTATGGCCTCTGAGGCTATCTGGTTAAAATTGCAGAGTTCTACTGTGCTATTTTATATAAGCTCCTCTAGTGACGTCAGTATGGCAGCCAATAAATGCAGGTTCACCCTGCAAAGATAACATTGCTGTTCCTGCAGGGTTAATTGAGATGAAGTGGTCTTGGTACCTATTTATATAGTTTTACTTTTTTCTTAATTTTTTTTTTTTTATTGGCGTTACAGTATCATGCTTTTGTTTTTTTGTTTCATTGAGCTTAAGTAATATATGTATTTTCTATAATTTTGAGGATAATTAATTCTACTATGGAATCTTTATTGATCCATGAGTGTGTATAATTTTTCTCGGAGGAAGTTTTCTCTATCTTGTGAACGCCTCTAAAATTATTTAAATTAGTGTGTCTGCTTCAGATTTAAATAATATATTGGGGTAATGTAATAGAAAAGTATACTCACCATGATTATATATTTATTTGTATGTATGTTTTACCAAAACCCCAATATTATAACGACTGTATATCCCTTTCACACCCACTGACCAAGTAACACTCCAATGTGACTTTTTTCTCTGGCAGTGTTTGCCTCTTGCCATTTTGTATCATATTATTTTTAGATTTAAAGGGACACTATAGACACCCAGACCACTTGAGCTCATTAGAGTGGTCGGTTTGCATTTTCCCTGTCACACTTTGAGAGAAACTGCAATGTTTACTTTGCAGCACTAAGATAGTCTATAGTGGCTGTCTACCAGATAAACACTAGAGGTGCTTCCTAGGCGACTTTAGGTCACCAAACTGATGCTGGACATTCTCACGTTCTGCATGAGGACATGCAACATCTGTAAAATTGCTTCAATGCTTTCCTGTGGTGAGGGCCTAAGGTGCATTATTCCATTTTCTGTCTAGACAAGGAGTCTCTTTTTTTGTGTCGTCTTTGGGTAATTTAGGGCTGTGAACAGGCATACCAGACATGTACGTCTTGGTTTCCATATGTGTTTCCCTTCGTTATGGCCCTCCAATAAAGTTTCTGACCTAGAGCAGTAATAATTCCAATCAGTGATCTACAATTAGTCCTTGTGTACAGGTTGCATTGATTCCTGGTAACATTTTATGTAAGCCATTACAAACCACAGAGGAGCTATTTCTCAAAACGTGAATACTGATAAATTGACCAGGATGCAGGATGCAATGGAAGAAAGGGGATGGAGGGTGAACAAATGTCCCTATTTAGGAAGAACAGTCCCTATTTTGGGCCCAAATCCATTTGTTCCTCTTTTCTAGGAGCTCCATTTTGTTTTTGTGTTGGAGTGTATAACAGAGTTCCACAGCAATAATACTCACACTAATGTGTATAACTTCACTAGATGTGTTTAGAAATGATTCTCTCTAAATAAAAATACATTGTTTTTGTTCGAAATTACATTTTAGGTGCATAACTTGTTATTATTAAGTCCACTAAAATTTCTCAGGAGGAGCCCAAACCCTGGCCAAATACCCACTCAGAGCTCTAAAATCAAGCTGTCCCTCTTTTCCCATTTGAAATGTTGGGAGGTGTAGGTCTGTTTTTCTAACTATCTTTAACGCCTTAAGGACGCTGGACAGAAATTTTCCTTCATTGCAGCACTCCCCTTAAGGACCAGGATGGAAAATTTCTGTCCAAGACTAAAATTAACCCCAGATTGCTGCAATTGTGTAGTTTGTCTCCTGATCTGTCTCCCTGCCGCTCCCTGTGAACTGTGAAGTGCAGAGAGACAGATCTCTCAAAAAAAAAAAGTGTTAGTAATAAAATCCCACCCCCCTCACCTCTTTCAAATAAAATTTAACCACTTCCCTGCCCTTTGATCACTGTCTGCAGTGATCAAAACACAGAAAACAGTATTTCAATGTGATCTGATTTTTTTTTTTCTTTTAACCCCTGAGGGTTAACTTTAATTTTTTTTTTTTTTTTCCTCAGGGGGTTACATGTATTTAGTTAGTTACTTAAATATTTGTAAAATATTAATTTATTTAGCTAGGGTGGGTAGAATTAGCGGGGAAATTGGGGGATTTACTGTTAGGCTAGTTAGGGGTTAACAATAATAAAAAAAAAATTCTAAAGTGAGAAACTTTTTAAAAGTTAAAAAAGTAAAAAAAATTTTTTTAAAAAAAGGTAAAAAATGCGTATTACCTCTAAACTTGGTACAGGCTAGCGAAAAAATAATACCACGATAAAGTTTAAAATATGCCTTTTGAAACACCCTGGGGTGTCTTCTTTAGGAAATGGAATGCCTTTGTGAAATAATTGGAAAACACAACCTATTAAATTCAAAAGTGGGGCATGGACCCAGCGTAAAAATTCAAACTTAAATGGCTGTATCTCAAATGTGCCCCTTCACTGTTGTCATATACCTGGTAAAGCTACATACGGGTGTATTGCTGTACTCAGATGACATAGCTGAGCAACATATGATGTATTCTACTGCTGTAGCACTCATACAGTTTGCAAAATATATAGTACAAACTCACTGAGAGTCAAAAAGGCAGAAAAATTGCTTATTACCACTACACTTGGTACAAGCTACCGGAAAAATTATTTCAGGCTAAGGTTCAAAATATGCCTTTTGAATTACCGTGTGATGTCGTCTTTAAGAAATAGTATGTCTTTATGGGATAGTTGGAATATATAGCCTGCTAAAAAAAACAAAAACTCCAAAGTGGAGTAACAACACAGCGTAAAAATTCAGTTTGGAAAAAAAAAAAAACCTGCAATGGCTGTGTCTGAAATGTGCCCCTTCAACATCCACATATACCTGGCAAAGACAACATAGCTGAGCAACATATGAAGTATTATAAAACCGTAGCACACATAAGGTTTGCTAAATATACAGTACAAACTCACTTTGTGTGTCAAAAAGGGCAGAATAAAATGCTTATCACCACTAAACTTGATACAAGCTAGCGGATAAATTATCACACGCTAAGGTTCAAAATTTGCCTTTTGAAATACCCACGGGTGTCTTCTGTAAGAAATAGTATTCCTTTTTGGGGTAGTTGGAAAAAGCAGCCTGCTAACATATTTCAAAATAGAATACGGACCCATTAAAACCATCCATGTAAATTCAAACTTAAACTGAACTTGTCATGTCTCTTTTACAGCACTGTAACTTCACAAAATAGTGTCTAGGTCATATATTGTGCATATTGTTTTACTCAGAAGAGGTAACTGAGCATACTTAGGGGGAATTTATGACAGTGGTACTTATCAAATGTATGAAATACCCAGCGAAAATGCAACATATATGTATATAATTTTAATTGTTTTTTTTTCTCACCACAAAATTTGAAATAAATTGGTGAAAAAATTGTGGCAAGTTAAGGTATAATATATGCCTAATAAGATTCCCTGGAGTGTCTGCTTTGTCAAACGGGGAAGGCCTTTGTGGGGTTATTTGAACAGTCAAATGGCTATAATGCCACAAAACCAGACATATGACCATCCATGAAAATTCCAACTATAGAAACTAAAATAGCATTATCTGCTATACAGCATTGTAGCTTCACAGAATAGGGGCAAAGGTAAACAATGGTGGTATCGTTGTACTCAGCAGATGTAGCTGAACTCAACACGGGGTTCTGTACAGGGATAGCACACACTAGCTTTACGAAATACACATTACAAAAACCTTGTTATGTGTATATGCCAAAATAGAGAAAAAACACCATTTTACTCCAATATTTAGCAGAGATTGGCGGTGAAATGGCTACGTAAAAAGTGTCAAAATAACCTTTGTTAAATCGCCTGTGATGTCTACTTTATATAAATAAATACTTTTCTGTGGCAATTTTGTTTTTTCTGCAATGGGAATTAAACTTCAAAGACAAACATACCAACTTCTAAAATTTTCGCATTGAAATTTTATTTTAGACCTTGTAGTTTGTGACCTGTATATGTCAAAATAAACTGAAATCATACACATATTATGTACTTTGTGAATCAATTCAAATAAATTAATTGATTTTGAATTACTTTTCCTAAGCTGGACATATTATGCACATGTTATTATTGCCAAAACTTGTTCCCCCCCACCCATTATTTTTCTTTTTTCTTTTCTTTTTTAATAAGTGAGAATTTATATATGTATATTTCACATCAAATTAAAGCCCTTTTTGTTGTCTAAAAGACTGTATATAATATGTATTGGTACAATAAATGAGAGAGATGCTAATTGCAGTTGAAACCGCAAAAAATGCTTGTGTCCTTAAGGGTATGTCCAGCTTCTGAAGCTGTGTCCTTAAGGGGTTATTTTCCCAGTTGCCTTGTCAGTTTATTTTGGATCAACAGCAATAATACAGATATGTGCCCACTTAATATTATTTTGTAATATTTGTTATGGTCCAACCTAATCTAGTCCTAAATTTTGCATTTATCTGGCCTTTTATAAGAAAATCATTTAAGAACCTTGGTATACTTTATATGCAAAGATATCTATGTGGATGGGGGATATAAAACAACTTTTCAATTTTTTATTTTTATTTTTATTTTTAAATCTAACTCTAGACTTGCGACATGATGGCAGTATTCTGTCACAATTTATGTTAGTGTTTTAGTTTCCCGAACTTAGCTATGTCTCTGGAACCCACATTAGCTTACTTTTGTCACCACTTTTCTGGTGGCTCTATCTTTTTAGTCATTTCACCTGTCCTCAAAGCACATTAGGCCATGTGTAATAAAGGATCTGCAAAATACAGTTTGTAATATTGCGTCCTAGACACCTGCATCTGTGTTTGCTGTCACCACGTGTGTTAATTTAATTATATGCTTTGCTTTGGCTGCTTCATCCCTTCCAAACCCTTTTTTTTCCAGTCTCTTTTGTAACAATGTTTTCTCATCTCTCTTTCAGGAGGCAGTGCCATCTCAGATCTCCTGTAACCATTCAAGCTATGTACGTCATACATGGGCTTTCATTGGATCCCCCATGGACAGCATATTGGACATTTTACAGATTCATCATCTTTTTAACCGTGACATGGGAATGTCCCACTCAGAACTGTCTGATAACATTGTTGCGTTGTTGTCCTCTAATAATAATGGACAGAGGCAGCTGTTTTGTGAATATTTGATAAATGTATCACTTTTACAGTCAACTCATGTTAATCATGTTCTAGACTTTTGTGTCATGAGGAGAAAAGAAAAATCTTCTTCTATTTTTATACCTTTTTTTTTGTGTCCCTTTATTTTATTTCCTTTTGAACAGTAACGTTTAAGGCTCTTGTATGTAGACATTTTCTGCTTAACAATTGTCACTTCTAGTACATCAAAAGATGTGCCTAATAGAATAGCTAAACCAACTAGGTTATGCTGCACATCTATTGGGAAAGAATAAATTACCGTTACCCGGCCTTTTTTTATTACATTGTTTGTTTTTATTGTTCATTTTTATGTGTAGATATATTGTTGATCCCATGGATTTCAGTTCTACCCTAACCTCTGGGGAAATAAAACTGCCTTGTTTTTTTTGTCTAATTTTATGTCCGGCTTTATGAAATGACATTTGAATTGCTTGTTCTTCCTAGAGTTATGTATGATCACATCTGTGCATAAATTTGAATCCATAATTTTCAGGTAAGCAAATATACCACCCTCGTAATGGTAGGAATTCTAACAATGCTGCATTAAATAACATTCAGGCTGGAGCTGACTTTCAATTTTTGATGGAACAATCCAAGCACCCTAACCGTTACAGCTCGTTGTAGTGTTTAGAGTACCTTGTGCTCTTTTATGGTCCATGGTCAGTAGCCAAACATGAATGCTTTTGTAAGTGCTTTCAGCCAATTCATACCTCCAAGCACTACCAGGTCTAGCTTAGTGCAGGAGCTCCCAGGTGTCGGGCAGGTTGTAGCGGGCACCCGTTTGACTCCAGGTAAGTTTCAAACTGTTCTCAAACATTTGATTACTAACATTGGGAAGGCACAATGCCGCATCTGACACCATAACCACTACAGTAGGCTGTAGTATTCATGTTGCTTAGAGAGTTTTTAAGGTATTGTATATTTTAATATTTTTTTTTTAAAAATGCACTCAGTTTGCAGCTTTCTGCAGTGAGCTTTGCCCAGACTAGGAATTAACTAATAAGGTCTCACTCAATCCTGGACTTTCCATTATTTAAATGGAGTATGAAAAATCGCTCATTAACCCCTGCTTTGTGAGGCTTATGGGAAATGAAGTTCATAATGTGCAGAAAATGCGAACTGCTTGTCGTGGCTTAAATATTATTTTAATTAATATAGAATAATTAATTAATATTTCTTATCGTTCTTATGATCAAATGTGTGGATAGAAAATCCACAAACGTTGTCATATTAAAGGGACACTATAGTCACCAGAACAACTATAGCTGTAGTTGTTCTAATAAGTATATTCAGTCTCTGCAGGCTTTTTGCTGTAAACACTGCCTTTTCAGAGAAAGGCCATGTTTACATTGCAGCATGGAGATGCCGAACTTTGCCCATAGAGATGCATTGATTCAATGCATCTCTTAGGAGATACTGTGTGGCCATGGCAGAGTTTAGATCCGCTCCATGGCTGAGATAATCAGTTCTGATTATGTCAGCCAAGGAGGTGAAGGGTAGAGCCAGCAGAAGCGGACCCACGTGGCGCTGGAAATAGGATCAGATGATGCTCCACCACAGGGGTACCCAAAAGTAGATCTCCAAATGTTTTAAAACTTGCCATTCTAGTAAGGTGTGCTGCTTTCTGCATAGGTCTCCATCACTAGTGGTAGTTCATACAGCGTGTGTTGTGTGCACCCACACTTATCATATCATTTTGTTCAGGAGAAACAGGGCTTTCATGTCGCATCAAATATTAGTATATTAAACATAATATTAGTATATTAAACATAATTTAAAATGAATAGGGGGGCGGAGCTTGCGGCCAACGAGGGTAGACGCCATCTCAGCCAGCTCCCCGCAATTCGCCTAAAACCCACCGAAAATCGCGGGCATCCTACCCCATAAGGCGACGCAACCCGGCCGACCTACCTCACCGAGAGTTCCTGCATCCGTCGATGCCGTTCTTCCAGCCGCCCAGACAGGCAAAAATAAAACGCAGGTCTGGGGCCTACTGCGCAACGCCAGCCTACAGCCTGGACGACCTACTCGCAATCGGCAGAGTGGGACACAGCCTGCAACTCCCAGACACCTCATCCCCACATCAAATGCCAGCAATGGGACGTCGGTCCCAAAAACCACACACAGCGGCAGAGTGCAGGGATATTGGCACCATGCTGCAACGACCGGCGCCGGGCAAAACACCCTCCACAGAGGTACTGCAGCCTACACACATTGAAGCCATGAGGCAGAGTGATGAGGTAGGGATCACACAAGCCCTGCAGACAGATCAGGCCCCATCCCAAGAGCCCTATGATGGCACAGCTCCCACTACCAAAGCTGATTTAAAGGCACTGCTGGCAGACATACACAAGGTCTGGGCTGCAGACCTCCAGCAAATAAAAGCAGACATACAGGCAGTCACAGGCCGAGTAACACAAGCTGAAACAAACATCGGCAGCATTAACTCTGACTTGACCACAATTAAAGACACAGATACTCAGCTCCAAGTGCACCAATCAGCCTTGTCGCTCAGGCTGACGGCCTTTGAAGACAGACTACGCCGCAACCATGTTAAGATAAGGGGAGTCCCTGCTAACATTAGCGCAGATGAACTACCACACTATGCCAGGCGATTGATGGCGACCATCTTACCTCACCCAGTGACCAGGAAATTAACCATTGAAGGAACATTTCGACTACCAGGCTCACCCACGGCAAAACCAGGCCAAATGCAAGACGTCATACTCCGCTGCGCCACCTCTCAGGATAAGGCCCAGATTATGCTAGCCCTGAAGGGTAAAACACCGCTGTCCTTTGAAGGCGCCTCTCTAACCTTCTACCAGGACCTCACATGAGCCACACTGCAATGGCGCAAATCATTGGCACCGATCACTTCCCAACTCAGAACAGCTGGGGTGACATACAGATGGGGCCCCCCTGGAACGCTATATGCTACGCATAACGGGACTGTCCACACACTAGAAGCAGGGGCAGATATACCCTCTTTCCTTGCATCACTAGGCATAGCAGGCCAGACCGTAAGAACACAAGACAAACCATCCAAAGCCTGGGACCCAGTGAACACGGCCATATTCACACCGAGAGCCGCCACATCAGGGGAAATGGAGCCTTAGCAGGACTGAACACTAAATACTTAAACGCAACTCGACAAGACAGCCGAACACCCCAACAAAGCCCTACTGTTTAAAATGTGTTCAACGTTTAGCATTAATGCTTCAGTTTATGTTTTTAAACTACACGACGGCTAGTCATGAAAACCCGAATTTGGGTTGACAATTACACGACCGAGATGGCGATTACCCCCCATAATCCCCAACAAATACCCCCCTCAGGAGTGGGCGAACTACACAATGGAGCGTATATACCCACACCCTCACTCTCTTCCCTACACTAGTTATACACTAACCCTCAGGCACGAGACCTACCAACTCACCTGATGCTCACTAGGCAACCCTGATACCACACACCCTGGCAACCAGCTCAGTATAGAGCCTACTCAGTCAGATGCAAAACGTGACCTACCCACAGAGAAGCAACATACACAATACTCCCGAACCCTTAAGTGACAATCCCCCCCCCCCAAGGGATCACTATATGGCACCTACACAGGGCTTCTTCAGCCTGAACTAACTTAAGATGATGAAAAGCAAAATCTCCTCCTCATGCGCCTAGACCATCTCAGACAAAACGCTAACATACACCCAATCAAACTAGGCATACTTGTCTAACACATACAATCTATCTATTAGATGCAAATCTCATATAGGAGATTACTTAATTTAGCTTGTTCATACAACTCATTAAATGTAAAAATGTGCAAGTTTTAACGCATAACTTACCTATGTTCAAATAATAATGCGCTTGTGGAAGCTGTTGTGGCTATACAAGCACTGCTGTAAACCCATGCACAACAAAAATAAAGAATTAAAAAAAAAAAAAATTTAAAATGAATAAAATATAATAAGAAATTGTATTTTTTTTTAGTTCTGCATGCCATTTTAATTGTGAATGTCACAATTCTGTTGTCTGTTACTGCAATAAAGTACACATTTGTATTCAGCGATGTCACATGAGTAAAACAGTACGCCCAATGTATAGGTTTTATGGTGTTTTGGAAAGTTACAGGGTCAAAAATAGCACATTACATTTTTCAGTTTATACATATTGAAATTTGCCAGACTGGTTATATTGCGTTTGAGACCAAATGGAATGAAAATTATCCCCATCATGGCATACCATTTGCAAAAGTAGACAACCCAAGGTATTACAAATGGGGTATGTCCAGTCTTTTTTAGTAGCCACTTAGTCACGAACGCTGGCCAAATTTGGTGTTCATATTTGTGTGTGCAAAATGCAAAAAAATTATTTGAACGCTAATTTTGGCCTGTGCTTGTGACACTAGTGGCTACTAAAAAAAACTGGCCATTTTGTAACATTTTGGGTTGTCTACTTTTGCAAATGGTATGCTATCATGGGGGTAATTCTTATTCCTGGGCTACCATGCAGTTTCAAAGGCAACGTAACCAATCTGGTGAATTTTAATCAGTAAAATCTGAAAAATGTAACATGCTAGATTTGACCCTGTAACTTTCCAAAACACACAACCTATTACATGGGGGTCCTGTTTAACATCAGGACATCACTGAATACAAATATTTGTATGTTTATTGCAGTAAAAGCAAACAGTATTATGACATTCACAATTAAAGTGGCATGTAGAACTAAAACTTTTTTTAATTGTTCACATTTTTAAAAATATTTTATTCATATTAAATGTTGTTTCATAGCTAAATATTTGATGTGAAATGAAAGCCCTATTTCTCCTGAATAAAATAATATATATAAGTGTGGTTGCACTTAATATTAAAGAGGTGAATAATGGTTAAACAGACATAATAGTCAAATTCCATGTTTTGTTTACATTTTGTTTTGATCATAATGTGTACATCTGGCTCACTCCTGAAGGGGTTAATTACCCATCTAGGTTAGATAGTGTGTTTGGTTTTACAATTTAATAACATGGGACACAAAGTGGGCAAATCCTGATAAATATATAATGCACAATATCTCTGAAAGGAAAGAGGCATAAATGCAACACAAATAAATGGCATATGTTAAAAGTTAATAACATGGGGTGGAAAGCAGGCAGTGTTTGAACAAAAGTGGCAAACATTCGTTTGTTCGCAGGGCCGGACTGGGAAAAAAATTAGGCCCGGGCATTTTTCAATTAGAGCGGCCCCCCAAAAAGGGGGCGGGGCCAGAGAAAGTGAGCATGTTGGTTCAATGCGCAGAGCCCCACTGAAGAGCTCTAGCATTAGAAAAAGGCCCTGTATTTGTTCTGCGCAGCGCAAGCAAATGTAATAACATGCTTGCGCTGTGTTTGCTTTTAAATTGTCTCTGGTGTCTCCACAAGTGGGATACCAGAGGACAAAAGGGCCAGGAAAGTGTATGGTGCATGTGTTTGGCGCATGCTTGTGGGATTGCCTGTGTGTAGAGTGTGGTGTGGTATTGTGTAAATAGGTCAATTTTGTGGTGTAATATGTGTGGCTAGGGGCTGTAGAGAGTGCGTGTATAGGGGCATAGTGTTATAGGGGATGTAGCGAGTGTGTGCATACGGGCAGTAGTGTGTGTGTATAGGTGACGTAGTGTGTGTCACTTATACACACACACTACTGTGTGTAGAGAGGGTGTGTTTAGAGAATGTTGTATGTGTTTGCTTACAAGGAATGTAGTGTGTGTGTAGGTGGTGCAGTGTGTGTGTAAGAGATCTAGTCTGTAAAGGACCCAGAGTGTGTATAGAAGATTGTGTGTGTGTGTGTAGAGGATTAAGAGTGCATATAGGGTAAGGGATCTAGCGTGTATCTGGAGCGTAATGTGTGTAGTGGTGCAGTGTGAGGGGTGCTGTAGTGTGTGTGTGTATATATATATATATATATATATATAGCAAAAAAAACAGGATGCTTGGCACTCTCCTTTAAGTAATAAGAAAGAACTAATAGCCTGGGTGCTATATCCCAAACGTCAGAAATATACAAAAATCAAAACTGAGCATGCACTCACAGGACTTGGTTAAAGTGAAAAAAAGGGACTTTTAATTATTCCATGTGAATGGAAAATTGATTTTTCTGTACATTTCACATGGAATAATTAAAAGTCCCTTTTTTTCACTTTAACCAAGTCCTGTGAGTGCATCCTCAGTTTTGATTTTTGTGTATATATATATATATATATATATATATATATAAATATAAATATATTTGGACGTATTGTATGTGTGAGGTGCGCAGCGTGTTTGTGTAAGAGGGGTGCTGTGTGTGAGGGTGTTTTTATCTGCCGTCACATTCTGGGTTTCTAATTTTATTTGTCTGTTAACTCACTGAGGGTTATTTTATATAATATATGTGCTGTATATGTGTGGGAGTGAGGGTACTGTCTGTCTGAGGGTGTTGTGTGTGTCTGGGGGGGTGCTGTGTGTGTCTGTGGGGTGCTGTGTGTGTCTGGGGGGGGGGCTGTGTGTGTCTGGGGGGGCTGTTAGGGAAATTATTTTAAAAATATATTTTTTATTTTATTAATAATTATAATATTATTATAATTAATAATAAAAAAAAGAGTTATGTTCCCCCCCCCCCTCCCTTCTTACCTTTAGCCTGGGAGGGGGGGGAGCCGTTCTGCCTGGGAGGGGGAGCCTTGAAGGGACCATGCTGCCTTGCCTGGTGATCCAGTGGTGAGAGTGAACTCTAACCTGCGGGTTAGAGTTCACTCTCGCGAGATCTGAGCGTTGCCGTGGTAACCGCGGCAACGCTCAGAATCCCGCGAGAGGACCCGGCGGAGCTGCTGGTTAGAGCTCTGCCGGGTCCTCTCTCCTCCCTCCCTCACCCAGCCGGCGGCCGCATTTCCCTGCCTCTGGGCCGGTGAGGGAGATCTGTGATCTCCCCACCGGCCCATGGAGGCACACAGCAGGGCCGGCGCTCAGATAGCGCTGGCCCTGCAGGGGCCGGCCGGGGAGATCCCTGCCGGCCTCGGCCTCACGGCCATCGCGGCCCACCGGGCATTTGCCCGGTGTGCCCGATGGCCAGTCCGGGCCTGTTTGTTCGCCACAATTCAGCACAAACATTTGCTTTTGTGGCACAAATCAGTGTTAACAAATGGGGAATTTTCATTCACCTTTTAAAAACATGTAGAACCAACTTTACACAGCTTAATTCTAAAGCAATTTGGCTGCCTGTGAATAACTAAATCACTGTTAGCGGGAGATTCTTAACAAAAAAAAACTGTATTCATGTACAGCTACACAGAAGGCTAAATTTGATTAAAATAACTGAATGTGCCTTTTGCGACTCACCAAATGTATTAAAACTGCCAAATTATGTAGACAGAGTGATTCAGATATATTTTAAGTGCAACAGACTGACACCTTAATGTGCAGTACTCTTATAAATAACTAAATACTCACATCTTGATACATATGCACTGAAAAATAAAATATGTAAATAATATAGTGCAGCATTTTTAAAATATAGAAAGACTATTGAAAATCTGTCATCATCACAATGGCTCTCAAGCATCCTGTTTTAGACCGCCAATCCTTAAGTTTGTCCCATTGACTTTAGTTTGCAGTCTGTCCTTGATGTAGGCCTATACCAGTTCCTTGCCCCTGAAAGCAATTTCCTATTTTCTTGTGATGCAAACATCTTGTGTTGTCTGAATAATCTTCATGCCCCAATCTTCTACTTCTTTATAATATAAATTATTTTGAATTACTTCTTCGGCATGCCTCAATTCTAGTACGCCAGCATAATCACTCACATACCAAGTAATAAGTTCAGATAACTTTATTGACATCAACTTCATGGCATAAGCAAAATATGGGTCTCTATAGTAATGTATTGGTTTCTATAATAGCGTGTTGTGTGTAATGTTATAAAGAATGTGAAGTGTCCATTTAAAGATGTTAAATATTGCTAATATGTAAGAAAAATACATCCGTAAATAAATCAGTTTCCATCAGTCATATGGTAGCAATTAAAATAAATGACCAGCATATTACAAACTCACAATGCATGTGCTGATAACTAAAAATGTAAATTGTCACCCAGTTTTCATGCAATACCATAATTTACATCAGGGCATGCGTGCTGAACACGGAAGCACATTCAGACACCGCGTAGTGGAGTCGGAGATTTATTGATTGATGCAGTGAAGAGAGAGCGCACTCAGACAGCATCCTACAGAGCCAGAGACTTTCTATACTGAAGTACTGTGAGCTTGACTTTCATGGCTTTTAGTTTTATATATATATAGATAAAACAATAATCCTAAAATGAATAAAAAATGGTGCAAAATAACTATTAAAGTGCAAGTAAACACCCAAAACAGTGTAACTTCAAAAAACACATGCAGCAACCTATATAAGAGATATAAATATAAATCTCCAATGGATCCAACGCACACGAGGGTTTGATCCTCCATGGGCTAAATACAGTGAGGGGAAAAAGTATTTGATACCCTGCTGATTTTGAATGTTTGAAATGATCAGTCTATAATTTTAATGGTTGATGTATTTTAACAGTGAGAGACAGAATAACAAAAAAAATGTAAACCCCCCCTCCCCCCCAAAAAACGCATGTAAAAAAAGTTAGAAATTGATTTGCATGTCAATGAGTGAAATACGTATTTGATCTCCTATTAATCAGAAAGATTTCTGGCTCCCAGGTGTCTTTTATCTAATCTCAGCTCGTTACCTGTATAAAAGACACCTGTCCACAGAAGCAATCAATCAGATTCCAAACTCTCCACCATGATCAAGACCAAAGAGCTGTCCAAGGATGTCAGGGACAAGATTGTAGACCTACACAAGGCTGGAATGGGCTAGAAGATCATTGTTAATGATATCAAGGCAGCTGGGACAATAGTCACAAATAAAACAATTGGTAACACACTATGCTGTGATGGAGGGAAATCCTGCAGCGCCCGCTAGGTCCCACTGCTCAAGAAAACACATGTACAGGCCCGTCAGAAGTTTGCCAATGAACATCTGAATGATTCAGAGGAGAACTGGGTGAAAGTGTTTTGGTCAGATGATACCAGAATTGAGCTCTTTGGTATCAACTCGCCTTGTTTTGAGGAGGAGGAATGCTGCTTATGACCCCAAGAACACCATCCCCACCGTCAAACATGGAGGTGGACACATTTTGCTTTGGGGGTGTTTTTCTGCTAAGGGGACAGGACAACTGCACAGGATCAAATGGACGATGGACGAGGCCATGTACCGTCAAATCTTGGTTGAGAACCTCATTTCCTCATCCAGGGCATTGAAAACGGGTCGTGGATGGGTATTCCAAAATGACAATGACCCAAAGCACACAGCCAAGGCAACAAAGGAGTGGCTCAAGAAGAAGCACATTAAGGTCCTGGAGTGGCCTAGACAGTCTCCAGATCCTAATCCCATAGAAACTCTGTAGAGTGAGCTGAAGGTTCAAGTTGCCAAACCTCAGCCTCGAAATCTTAATGACTTGCAGATGATCTGCAAAGAGGAGTGGGACAAAATCCCTCCTGAGATGTGTGCAAACCTGGTGGCCTACTACAAGAAACGTCTGACCTCTGTGATTGCCAACAAGGCTTTTGCCATCAAGTACTAAGTGGAAGGGGTCAAATACTTATTTCACTCATTGACATGCAAATCAGTTTATGCTGAGATGCATGGCCTGGTTCTCTCTGTAATGGCACAAGATGAGCTAAAACCAGCTTGAGAACTGAGCGGGGACCCACTGAAGGGCAGGCTAAATTGAGCTGTTGTCCGTTCTCTGCACTCTCTCGCGACTTGTTTTTTTTCTCTTCTTTTCAGCAGGGTTTTATATATTCCTATTTTGTACTACAATACTGCACTTGATTTCTCTCTGTGTTTTTATGTGTTCTATATTATTAAGAACATCATTTTAATATCTGTGCAAGTATATTTTTTATTATTCACTAAATAACAGTGTAATTTGTGACACAAGAAGTAGGATTGTTTCCTTTTTGGATGGAAACATTTGGTCACATATGTATTTACTTTTTTATTCACACTGTTTTGTACAATATTTATTGTGCACCTATAAATTAGATTTGTTATTTCTGTGAATTTTTATATCTGGATTCATTATAGGTTGCTGCATGTGTTTTTTGAAGTTACACTGTTTTGGGTGTTTACTTGCACTTTAATAGTTATTTTGCACCATTTTTTATTCATTTTAGGATTATTGTTTTATCTATACAGTGTGGAATATTGTTCACCTCTTTTTCTATGCACTGTGTACCTAGCACTTTTTTGTTGTGTAATAATCATTTTATTTTTAAAATTTTAGTTGGATCATCATTTAATCAAATCTAGTACTGATCTTTATTATAAAGTATTAAAATGATAAACATACTTAATCTCTTCACGTCCTAATATTTTCTCAAAATCACCTCCTCTCTTTTTATAAAAAAAAAACAAAACACCAAGACCCTCAGGATTTTTAGAATGTTTGACCTTAAAATGTAAAGAGACACTATGTTGTTCATATCCTCTTGATGTTCCTGTATTCTGACATTAAATGTCCTTCCAATATAGTGAAAGGGACACTATACACATTGTAACGGAACTCCCCGTACTCCGACCGAGTACCTTCCGTTGATGGACGCTTCCTAGCCTGCACCAAGGACCACACGCACCGCACCGGACACCACAACCACCGCAGACTCCACAACCGCCGTAGCTTAACTGGAGTCTCACCGTCTTCTGTCTACCCTGGATCAGCTTCTGCCCTCCAGGACCGTGTGGGAATGACCTCTCCTCCAGGAGAGCGTATCAGGAACATGCTCTTAAAAGAGCTAAGTGATTAAAGCTCAGGGGAGTATGCAGAGCCCCTCCAATCACGAGACAATACTACGTGTTGAGGGTCAAGAAGAGCTGTTTTAATTAGTACCAAAGGGCTTTCTTTTATGGAGGTCTTGCACATACAGGACTACCCACAGTGTTTTGCAGAACAACCAATAAACACGTAGTATACAGTACAAACACTCCCATCAATTACACACAAAATCCTCCCCTCTGCCTGTGATATAATTACTGCACACAATGGGTTAATGTAATTATCACAGGCAGGAAAAATATACTTTTTACACATGTACTATAACTTTAAAACTATACATCCAACATATTATTAATCAGCATACTTGAAATATGAACATACTCAAAAATCATGCAATTCCTTCCAGTAGTTCAAAAGTTAGTCGGAAGTCCTTTGTGAGCGACCGCAAACACATTTTCCTGCCCAAAACAGTTCCATAGATTTGGGCTGTGTGGTCGGTCAATTTCACACTGAAAAAATGACTAAGTCCCATTCGAACATGCATTCGAATCTTCGAATGGGACTTAGTCTCTGTGGCTGAAAGAAGGTAAGGAGAAGGTAAGGGTCAGCGGTGTTCATTGAAATGTGTAGCCGATTTCACTTCCATGGATTTGGCTACACACACCGCTGACCGTGTGCGAATGAACAAAGATGGCCGCGGCCACGTGTTTGTTTGTCGAATGGCGGCAACTTCGGCACTTCGGCTGCATCCAAAGTGCCAATTTAAAGTTGCAGAACTGCTCCAATACAATTTAAAGGGGCAGCAAGGGTCTTTTAAAATCCAATCTGCTAAAATAGTCTTTAACAGGCAATATCTTCCTGGGGCCATAGTCTTAAAGGGGCATTGTTCACCAAAGTCACAATGTGCCCACAGAAGGTTCTTAAAGGGCCATACACAGTCCAATAAAAGTCCATAAGCCCAAATGCTGGTTTAAAAGGGTACAATCTCCCAGGGGCCATAGTCGCAGGGGAGGAGGCAGTCAAGCAGGCCTCTCCAGGACAAAGTGGCGAAGGGCACTTCGTCTCACACACCCAGACCACTTCAGCTCATTGAAGACGTCTAGGTAACGCGCTTAGTCCTGCAATGTAAAACATTTTAGTTTTAGAGAAACTGCAATGTTTACATTGCAGCACTAAGCCTCTAGTGGATGTCTACCAGATAGCCATTAGAGGCACTTGCTAGGTGACTTTTGGTCGCCTAACTCCGTTAAATCCCCATAGAAAAGTATTAATTCAGTGCTTTCCTATAGGAAGAGCATAATGATTTGCAGCGATAGTCATGCATTAGGTCCCCCCTGTTAGATGATGTCGGAGGAGTGCTGAGGGACATCGATGCTGGCATCGGGTAAGTAAATAATAAGGTTTTTAACCATTAGTAGCCTAAGGGATGGTGGTGGGGCTATGAGGGAGGGGGAGGCATAGGGATTCATAGGTTTGTATTCCTAATACTATATTATCCCTTTAATCCCACTTTCGAAAATAAATAAATATTATTTATTTTTTTGGTGAAACAAGAAATCACTTATTTTATACTTCCCTTTCCAATTTTAGTGGTCTCCTTCTTGCTTTTTTGTATGGTGGCAGTTAATGAATTAATAAATATATATATAGCCAAAAGTACAAGATAGCACTCCAAGGACTTCCAAGTAGAATGAATAAAACTTAGCTTTTATTAGCTCAAAATAAAAATCAACGTTTCAGTCTGTATCACAGACTTTCATCCTGATAAAAGTCTGTGATACAGACTGAAATGTTGATTTTTATTTTGAGCTAATAAAAGCTAAGTTTTATTCATTCTACTTGGAAGTCCCTGGAGTGCTATCTTGTACTTTTGGCTGTATCTGTTTGCTGATTAGCACCGGGCAAGTACATCAAGGAAGGTGGAGTGCATTACTATTTTTGTTTTTTTTTATATATATATATATATAAGAAAAAAAACCTTGTACTCCTACTCATAGTCTTTAACACCCGGTGCTTGATAGCACTAAAAATGTAAACAAAGTAGAAATTTATCAGCACTCCAGGGATTCTTGAAAAAAAGTTCACTTGCAAACAGTGTCTCAAGCAGTTAACGTTTCAGTTCCTATTTGGAACTTTCCTCAGGACAAACACAAGTGCATTAACACAAACACCATATATT